TATTTTTTTTTACATAATTCGAATGAGAATCATGTACCGAGTATGCTCCTTAAATATTGATAGTAATTCACCAGTCACCCTGTATATAATATATAAACTTGAACTGAATTAAAACTATTAATCAAATCAACGAAACAATTTAAAATAACTAACAACTGATTGATTGATAAATTTACGACCAATTAATTTTAATTCAGATAATTCTCAAACAGGTGAAGCTTAAAAATAACGTTTTGTATGACACTTTTAAGTATTTAAGATTAAATTTTACCCTCTCTTATTCAAAATGTTTTCCTACCCTAATAACGCAAGCTTTAATATTCTTCTTCTACCTGTCAATTTCCCAGCTATAGCCAGGGTCTGCCTTACATGTTGTGAATAGTTTTGGCTAATTGTTTTTACGATCCGCCTGCCTGACATCAACCCTCTTTGGGAATGATAACGCAAGCTTTAATACCTATATATATATAATCTTGACATCAAATTCGAATTATTAAAAACGTAAAGGCTTGATGGATCAAAAAGTATTTTCCATATACTTATAATGACAAATTATTATGAAAATTTAGTGATTTAAATTTAACGATATATGTAGTATAATCAGTTTAATGTTGAAATACGTGGTAAGGATTAAACATACTTCCATTGATGGAAATTTCTTGTATATAATACAAGGAATTTTTGTTACATATAATCTCCTCTCCTATATATATAAAAATGGATTGCTGTTCCTTAGTCTCGCTAAAACTCGAGAACAGCTGAACGGATTTATCTTATCTTAGTCTTGAAATGTTCGTGGAGGTTCAGGGAAAGTATGAAAGCTGAAAAAAATTGATTCATTACTGAGAAAATCATAAAAACAGTCCTTTTCTATTTCCAATACAATTTTTTTTTTGACATTAGATTTGACAACTAACGAATATGTCAATCATTCTGTCGCACTTTAGAACACGGAGATTTATGGCTTACAGGTAAACTCCAAAAATATAAATAAAAAAACGTAATAGATATTTCTTGATAGGGCGATACGAAGTTCGCCAGGTCTTCTAGTATATATAAAAATCAATCAATTTATAAATAAACCAATCAGATGTCAAGACGGTAAACAAACGCTAGCTTGGTAACTAAAAATTGATGCTATTTTGGCAGACATACAAATTGGAGAACGGACAAATCACAAAACGATTTTCAAGCTAATTCCGACTCTGTTACATTTGATTATAAGATTTGAAATCGTTTGATTGTATTTAAATACTTTTATTTGGACGCATTCTCGTGTGTTAATTGCTCTTTTAATTCTGAGAGAATTCTCTTCACGACGCGACATAATACTCTAGATTACCCAATATTTTAAACTAATTATAATTTCTGCTACATTAAAAAAACAGTCAAACGTAAAAATTTATATAGTTACGAGTACTAGAAAGCCCGGCGAACTTCGTATCGCCCTATAATCAAGATATATCTGTTACGTTTTTTATTTATATTTTTGGAGTTTACCTTTAAGCCATAAATCTCCGTGTTTGGAAGTGCGACAGAATGATTGACATATTAGTTAGTTGTCAAATCTAATGTCAAAAAAAAGTTTGTATCAACAACTACTAATAAATTAAAAATTAATTAAAAAAACATTGTCCACTTGACAAAATTGTGAATCTTACCAATTCCCAGATCCCCTTGAACACACACAAAAAATTTCATCAAAATCGTTCCAATCGTTTGAGAGAAGTTCAGTGACATACACACTCACAGAAGAATTATACATATAAAGATAAATTTCCTGCCAAAATACTGACTTATGACTCTATGTGTCATCTGTCATAACAAACGAAAAACGCGGCAGCCATTTTTATTTTAACAAACTAAGTAATATTGTTTTTTCTCAATAATAATATTGATTTAGATTAATTTATCCCTACTAATATTATAAATGCGGAAGTAACTCTGTCTGTCTGTCTGTTACGCTTTCACGCCTAAACCACTGAACTGATTTTAATGAAATTTGGTACAGACATAGGGTTGACCTTGAGAAATTGAGAAAATTCTCTTGGAAACGCAATATAACCGAACTCCACGCGGGCGAAGCTGCGGGCGGAAAGCTAGTTTTTAATAATTTTGAAATTTTTCTGTCTTTTCTAAATTAATTATCTATTATACATTTAATTTATAATTTATTCATGACCTTGACGCTTGTATTGTAAACAATTAATAATTATGCATTAATATTGACATTTATAGTTCGGAGAGCTCTTGAAATTCATTCATTTGTATTTATTTTGATGTTTTTCTATGAGAAATCATGTAAATAACTTATTTTAATGTTGTTCTGTCTTCGAATTTCCTTAGAAATATTTTTATACTATCTTTCAAATATTTTATATTCTATGTAATACTTTTTAATCTATAAAACAACTCATTGAACTTTGTTTGGTATCATGTAAAAACATTTATCAACGTAAATAGAATTTGTTGCTTATTAAATCATGTTTTATGAAATAACATGTTTTTATCACTCGAGCATAAGCCTAAATATATAATGGATAGTGTGATTTCTAAGGAAATCTAAAATGATAACTCAACACGTAGTTTCAAAATCAAATCGTTTATATATATTTATAAAACTAACTGATATACGCGACTTCGTCCGTATTTTTTGATATATATTAATATATTTTAGGTTAGAGGAAAACATTAAGCATGTACTGCTTAAAAATATGTTTCTTAAAGTTTTAATAACTTGATATTCATCGAATATATCACTAATTTTTTTTTTGGCATATTAGGACCAAGACTCTATAAAATATATATATTTTAATATATTCAGTACTTTATTACTCTCACAAATGTATACGACTATATATATCATTTTGTTTATATAAAACATAATAAAACTATTTATATTACTATGAGAGTGACAGCGAGAGGGAAAGTTATAAGTGAAATTGGTTAAGACTACGTAAAAAATTACATTTTAACCACAAAACCGGATAAAAACATTATTGTTAGAAAACGTCGTTATTTTTAAACAATCTTCATTGTCTCTTTGGGCATGGGAACGAATCATCATTATATATATAAAAAAAACATACAAAAATTTCGTTATATAATAAACCTTTTATATATAAATGAATTAAATTCTTTAATCATTGTATTGTATAATTATTTTGGTACATAATATAAAGATTTTTATTACTATCTTTTAATCGACTTCAAAAAGGAGGTTTTAATTGATATTAATCTTTTTTTCCATAAAATTTTGGATCACTCTATTATTTTTTTCAAAAATTTTTTTTCAGTATAATATTGCGTCAAATGTAGAACTTCTTTGAATATTGTTTATTAGTTATCTATATTATAGATATTTTTTTATTATTTGTGGTCTTTTCATGTCAATAACACTCGTTAGAATGCTAGCCTCTATTAAAACGTGATTATGTTCTAGAAAGTTCTCTAAAACACTACACATTGACTTGACATCTTGGTAAACTAACCAGCGGTTACTTTAACTGCTGTTAATTTAACTTGCTTATCGAGTTTTGGGATACTAGCAGTTTTAGTAAACTTTAAAACAAAATTTTATAACTATATTTCAATGAAAAACTATTAAAATTATAACTTAACTAGTTTTTGCCCGCGACTTCGTCCGCGTTAGTTTGGTCAAGAGTGATATATGTAGGTATAGCTGACCGGGCGAACTCTATTCCGTCTTAGAGGCCATAAATAATCAGGTTTTTCCTGTTTCAATCAAACAGAATGATTGACATTTTAGTTAGTTGTCAAATCTAATGTCAAAAAAAAAACGTTTGTATGGGAAATAGAAAAGGGCTTTTTTTAGGGTTTTTCCGGCAATTATTCCAATTTTAACTAAAATTAGCCAAATCGGTTCAGCCGTTCTCGAGTTTTAGCGAGACCAAGGAACAGCAATCCATTTTTATATATATAGAAGATAAATTTTCTGAGCCTAAATAAGTTGTACATATAATATAGTATATAATATATGAGCAATTAATCTATCTTAAGATTTGTCTTGAACATAATGACCTCATGTATGTAGACGTAATTGTTATCAGCTATATGGATGCTAGAAGGAAGTTTTCTCATGGACAGACAGACTATACGTTACGAATATAAATATATAATAATGATATACCTTGAAATTATATTAATTACAGTCAATAAAAACTATTACTAAGGACGAAAAGATATATCCCTACTAATATTATAAATGCGAAAGTAACTCTGTCTGTCTGTTGCGCTTTCACGCCTAAACCACTGAATAGATTTTAATGAAATTCGGTACAGAGATAGAGTTGGCCTTGAGAAAGAACATAGGATAGTTTTTATTCTAGACTTCTGAAAGGTTCCCTTGGAAACGCGATATAACCGAATGCCATTGAAATATGAAATATTTTATGTTTATACAATTTAATTGTTATTAATATAAACAAAATATATTGATAAACTAACATGTCAACTCAAATCAACCTTCGTGAGGTATTGACAGACTTAGGATGATCTTGGCAGATGGAGTTATAGGAATATTTCGCTGATGAAACATATAATATATGTGCATAATATTCAAACAAACTAATTCAGAAAAAATTAAGGTAGAGAGAGGAGCTTGGACAGTGGAGGTGAGCGTTTAACGTTAGATAGGGTCCCTTAAACCTACACCTGGGTCACAAGTCCCAGGCACTGTTGAAGCTCCTCTCACTACAACGATGGACCCGACACACGCACCGTGAATACATTGAATGATGAGAGGTTTCGTCTCTCTATATATATTAAACCTACACCTGGGTCACAAGTCCCAGGCACTGTTGAAGCTCCTCTCACTACAACGATGGACCCGACACACGCACCGTGAATACATTAAATGATGAGAGGTTTCGTCTCATAGAATTGAATGTCTGTATTCATTGTATATTAAGTCTACCTCAGTATCAAATTTAGCGCAAGCCGTAAACTCCAAACAAATAATAAATAGGTCAACCACTCACCTCTTCCACGGATCTTTTGGCGAATTCATTCATGGACACTATCCATTGTTGCACCAGTTCGTTCACTATAACCAGATCATTATATAACCACGTCAGGGTCTCATTGACCCAGTGTACACTTGCTGGGTCGCTGCCTGTACACGTAGGGACTATTATGCTGTGCTTCTTGATACTAAGCTGTTCTGGTCCTGGCGACATGCGCCCAAGTCGCTTCTTATTAGGCGGAGTCGCCGGTACAAAGCTAGTCGGTTTGCTAGGCTTGAAAGCCGCGCTTTTAACCTTCGCGCTAGTTGCCAACACGCTGTCTGAACTAGTGACTATCTCGCTAGCAGTTTTCTTCTCATCTTTAGGTTTCTCAACTTTTTCTTCAACAGCTTTCACACTGAATCTGCTGTATGCCCACCTAGCTATGCCGAGGATGACGATCGAGAATAGGACCCACACGAAAACCAACATAACCAGGTTGTCCATGGCTGTGTCCATGTAATCGAAGCTGCATATAAGGTCGTCAACTGCCTCAGCTAAGTCAGCCATGGTTTTCCATGGTGCCTGCCACCATGCGGCGTCCTCACCCGCCGACTTTTCCCCCAACACTGACTCCGGGCCGGACATTTTTTCTCTATTTTGGTCCAAGCTATTTTTGGAACCAGCTCTATCGCTGTCTCGCTCTTTTGGATGCGTTCAATTATTTACATGGATTCGATAAATTTTCTATCTATTATTTATGAACACATCTTAAAGTTACTCGTCAATCTTCGTTCGTTTTTTTATGTTTTGTAAGATTCAAGCATGCTTTAACCCTGAAACAAAAAAAATATATTTGACATTAGATATTAAGAAACTAAGGTTTACCTAATTGTTAATTTTGGTAGATTAGACCAAGATTATTACTCGAAAACTTAAACCAAAGAAAACATAATAAACCAAAGAAATATCATGAAACAGAATAAATTTTATCCCAAATTATTGATCTTAAAACTCATTTAGATTTTAACGTCAAAATCTGGTCGATATAATTTGCGTATGGGTTATTATCTTGAACTCGTTTCTTACTAGAAATGAGGTCACTATTCCGGTTAAGAAATTATGACTCACATGATCAGATACTAACGAATAATTAATATTATATATATAATATTACTGTATATCTGTATATCACTGGACTCCTAAACGGCTGGACCGGATTTGAGTGAGTTTTCTTGTGTAATTTTGCGTTGCGTATGAATTACATTCGATTAGTTACTATACTACTAAAAGACTTAGACCTGTCCAGAACTAAAATCAATTTATTCTTGGCACGTATGTACTTCGAAGGCAGCCCTAGTAGGTTCTTTTCAAATTTGGTAGAGAGAGGAGCTTGTACGGTGGAGGTGAGCGCTTAACGCGTTAGATAGGGTCCCTTAAACCTACACCTGGGTCACAAGTCACCGTGAATACATTGAATGATGAGAGGTTTCGTCTCTGTTTTAACACACTCTAATGTTCGAACGGACGAAGTCGTGAGCACAAATTAGTATATACATATGTATAATTTTATTAATATTTCAAGATTATATGAATATATTAATAACAAAAGCATATTATGCATATACATACATAAATTTTATTCCTATTGATTTCAAGATAGATAATAATCTTTGGCGATTATTATAATAATAATAAAATATAACTTGTTTTGATATAAATCAATAAGAACATTTATTTTATCTAAATATCAGAAGCCGAGATTAAAAAGTCTCACACTTTATATATTACATAATAGTGCATATATCAATACATATTATAAAACAAAGTCCCTCACCTCGTCTGTCTGTCTGTTTGTTCACAATAAACAGAAAAACTACTGCACCAATTATTAAACGGTTTTCGCCACTCGATAGCGTGATTCTCGAGAAAGGTTTCAATATATAATTTGTTAATACTTTGTGTTTGATTTGTGTGTACATTAACGATATTTGTTGAAGATGTCGGAAAAAAAATTACCGTTTGGGAGTTTTTAACGAAAACGCTGCCAAATTCGTTTCAGATATAATAAAACAATGTATGGTGGAATAACATACCTTTAATAGATCTACAAAAAAGTCCGCGATGGTATATGTCTATCTCTAAATGATAACATACTATGTATATCCATTTTACTATGTACTTTTAAAAATTGCCATTCATGTAGCGTTTATAGGAAAGCTATTTTCATTATTACAGTATAGTCTTATCAAAATAAATTACTTCGTGTTCAAGCCTACATTAGTATCTATAAATTACTTTTTGAATTATTTTATTCGGACCTAACATTTGAAAGTTATAAGTTTAATAATTCTCAAAATTAAATCCACGCGGTAGCTCACTTTTTCCCATGATCACGTTATTAATTTTGTGTACAAAATTATTGTAATGTATTATTTACATAAAAATACATATATCTACCGTTTTTCTAAGTTCAAACTTATTTTATGTTTGACAAAGAATGATGACGAAATTTTTATTTCTCTTGATTTAACTCAAAAAAGTACTCAACAAAATTATACGTAACATAGGCTATTTTACATTTTGTGTAAAGTACCCCTGCGAAGCGAAGGTATAATATTTGGGTTTATCAATACATATATATAAAAATTACACTGTAACTTGTTAGTTAATTCAATGATATATTGAATGTTATTTTAACTAAATCAACAAACAATCATCTATTAACCACTACGAGTACATGAAGTAAACTCAAGGTTTTGCCTTTGATGAGTAATCAATTTAACTTATTAACAACAGAACAATATGTTCGTATATTTTGATAGTAATATATACTTTGGAGATATATATGGAGATATCAAAGTCATTTTTAAGTATAAAAAGTTATATATATGCTTAATGAACATATATTATATTTATTTTTAGTTTTAAAGTGCATTTTGTTTATCTCACGGGTTTTCTGTTCCTCTATCGCATGTCGCGTAGCAGATGATCGTTGGGTTGGGGTAAAACAAAAATCATTTTTCATGATTATTTAAATTATCTTCTACTTGCATATTTATATAATAAGGCCACAATTTATATTATATTCCCAAAGCCAAAGAATAGAGTTTTTAACAATAACAAGATTTTAAAACAATAATTTCTTGTTCATTATTACGTAAAATTTAACAAAGCGTAATAAAATGAAGATATAGCACATATAACGCCTTATCATGAGGATATTGTTGTAAAATATACAATAATTTCAAACACCTATAAATAGTTTATAATGAGATTTAAGACTTTCGCGAGTATTAAAATAAAACTATTATTTTCATAATTACTACGCTTTTTTTATTATTTTTAACCATTCACATTTCGTCTGTCCGTGATCACGGTTGCTGCAAAGTAAACGAAACTTCGGGAGTATGTTGTTTAAAATATATAAAAAACACGTATTAAATCTGAAAATATTATTTATATTTTGTTATCTATAACTCTTTATTATAGCTGACGAATTATTTCATACTTTTAAATCAAATTCCAATCACAGATTTATTTATTTTTTATTTTATTCCACAATAATTCCTTAATATTGCAATTAATATGGTATATATTAAGTTTTGTCAAATATTTATCACCAAGCACACTAGCGCCCTCTATCCGTGTATAAAACAAAGCGCTAAGCGACCGACCTTGGATGATTTCATCGCGCGATAACAGAATGTTAATCTTTAATTAAGTTTAAGTTGAATATTTAACACATACTATATTACTATATATTTTACTATATGTTACATTTTTCCTGATTACATATGAGTTTTTGTAACACTCAGACATATAAGTAGAAAACGATAGTAATATATACATATATAAAAAATTATGTTAATATTTAACTCCCTATAAATTTGGAAGTTACAGCACATAAAAATATAGGTTTTATAATTTAATTTCACCAAAAATATACGAGTATATTAGTGAAAAAATTAACTTGAATAAATTGTCATTGATCGTTCTAACTGAGCCTTCAAATCTCTTACTACAGGTATTAATTTAGTATTTAGATCAACTGCAAACTGAAAGTTATTCGTAAAAAATACATTTAATACGTAAAATACTTCAGCATTCAGTATGTTAAAAGATAATTTTTCGAAGCTACATTCAATCTATAACTTTAATACAAGAAAATCAAGATTTTTTACTATTTTAATGTATATATTGATTTATTTTCGTTTATAAGTAAGTATTTAAGCTAAATAAATATACTGAAATGTCATTTCTATTATAAAAATAATGTTGTCATCTCTAAAATATTTTAGTTAGAATCCAAATCATATACAGCGGATGACGGAATATATTATCTTTATACATAAACAAATAAATTAATAAATATTACATACCCTTTTTAATATATATATATAACAAAATATAAAGAGCACAATAATTAAAGTTTTAATACAATAACCTCGTTTAAACACAATAATTAATTGGGAACACGTCTGACCGCACGAAATTACAAAACTACACTGAGGTCTGGCAGTGAACTAAAAATTTTGATTACAAAACGTGAACACGAGGTCAAAGGTACGGGTCCGCTGTAGAGGTACAAAAAAACGGACAGAGATACATTTATAAATATGCGTCATATTACTTTTAAACAAAATTCGTGTAGTAAATAATTAGACTTCAATTTTCATACATTATAATTGATGTATTCTTAGTACTTTTTATATATAACTAGCTTTCCACCCGCAGCTTCACCCGCGTGGAGTTCGGTTATATCGTATCCAAGAGAACCTTTCAAAAGTCTGGGATAAAAACTATCCTATGTTCTTTCTCAAGGTCAACTTTATGTCTGTACCAATTTTCATTAAAATCAGTTCAGTGGTTCAGGCGTTAAAGCGTAACAGACAGACAGAGTTACTTTCGCATTTATAATATTAGTAGGGAAGTTTACAAATAAGAATAAAACGTACGTCTTAGACAAAACTATGGTTACTAAGAAGGAGTAACAGTGGGAAAAAGCTAGTATATATGTATAAAATAATGGCTGGTTTATTTCTTTATGTTATGACAATTCGATTATTATGATTAATTTGACAAGAAGCTTCCAAAAACTGTCAAAAGAACAACTTAATATTGGTTTTAAACAGTTAAAAACACGTGTAATTTTTAATTAAAACTAATTGATTACACACTGAGTCTGTGTTTTTAATTATATTTTTCTTTTGCTAACAATTATTTGATTACTAAAATTGTTAATTATATAAAGAGGTTGAGGTTTTAATGTAATATCGGTGACACATTAGACACGTCAAAATTAATAAACAGACAAAGAAATGAACTTTGTCAAATCAACAATTCTATGACAAAACTTATAATAAAAATCTTTATTGATTTAATATAAATAGATAATATGTTATTAAAGATTTTTAATTCATGTATGATTGAAAATACTATGAAATTATATAATTATATATTCACGAAATTATTTAAAAAAATATATAGAAAGAGACGTATATATACTTCCATCTCCTTCACTCTTATAAAAATATGATTTTTAAGTTTATCCTATTTTCAAAAATCTATACTTACGTTAGATATTACTAAAAGTGTAATAAAAACCTGATTATTAATCTTTTTAATACAAAATTTCTTTATTATAA